AAAAAATAATAATAAGACAGTGTCTTATTTTCGGGGAAACACGGTATCTGCTTTGTGGCATTTGGAAAGTATCAGCCCTCCTAAAGGCTATAAACGGAGAGCAAACATTTTATTGACTGACGCTGTCGGTGGCCACGAGAACTCACGCAACCTGCCCTTTGTGCTCTCCCTGCCTTGAGAAGCCACGTTTCCTCCCTCTTAAAGCCGGTTCACTTTGTCTGGAAACTGGCTGCTTCCAAAACAAATCTGGATCTCAGGACAGGATGGAGTTCAGCCACTATACCAGAAAGGAGAACAGGGAAAAAGCGGACTTAACAGGGTGTGGTTTCAGAAACATAAATGCAATAGCAAGGCCCCAGCATACTAGATTCGTGGGATGATGGGGTTGGATTCCCCTTGCTCCCTGGTACACATTAATGATTTAACCAGCAGCCTGGTACATCTTTCCCTTGGCCGGGTGGGGGAGCCAAATGCTATTGATTTGTAACCGGGAAGCTTTTTTAAAAATATGCATCCCTTCCCTGCCCCCGCTTCCCTTCTGGTTTTATTGTTGGGCTACTCCTAAGGATCATTTGTGAGCTGGTTGCCAGAACACTGGGCCACACTTTTCCTGCACAAATCCTCCCACAAATGCATTTTCATTAAGCTACCGTCTTCAGATCTACCTGCGTGCTGTCTGTACAGGAATTAATCACATGAGCAGACTATAAACAACAATGGTGAGCAATCTATTCATTGATATTTTTAAATTTGTTTATTCACTGAATTGTTTTGAAGGGCTGAAATCCATCAGTGGCAGATTGATCTTCCTACAGGGTGATCTAAATAGTACAGAATGTATTGCTTTATTTTGGGAATGGGATTTTTTCTGCCTGTCTCACTGTTGGTTTTCATCCCCCCCCCCCGCCCTTCTCTAGAGCTCTGGAAACGCTTCCTACAGATGCTCCATGTCATCCTCTGCGGATTTTTCTGATGATGATGATTTCAGCCAGAAATCTGGTTCACTGTCTCCTGCTCCGGGTGATACCCTACCTTGGAACCTACCTAAACATGAGAGATCCAAGAGGAAGATTCAAGGCGGATCTGTGCTGGACCCAGCTGAGAGAGCTGTGCTCAGGATAGCCGGTAAGACCGGATGTTACAAATGGGGAACAGTTCATCAGCAGTCCATATCTATATATACACGTGTATCTGTATTATTGTGGGTTTGTGCATTACAGAGAAGAAAACAAACTGAGAATTGTAGTAAGAACTTTGCTTTTTAGTGCTTAAAAACACAGACACAAAAATTTGTTTTCCATGCTTGTTTTCTAGTGGTGGTGACTAAGCTATTTGGCTCTGTTTTCCGGTTTGGCAGATTAATGCATGTGGGGAAAAATACAATTGCAATATGTGCAGGTGCGCATATTAAACTTTCATGGGAGGCTGCATTACAGTACAGAAGTAACTCAGTTTCATTTCATGCGTGCAGCATGCTGCTTTGTTGGTGGAATGTAAGGATTTGAACTGGCTGTGTGCTTAAAGATGCCATGCTATGTACATTAACTGGAAAATGACCAAATTGAGTACAGTGGCACTTACTTTTGTGTTACTGTGTATACAAGTTGAGCTACAGTAGTTTTTGTTTTAATCCAAGGGTGGTTTTTTTTGCCATAAAGGAAATTAACTATTGGAATCATATGGCTTTCTCCCCCCCCAGTTTTGTGTTTGACATGGGTTGTGTTTGAAGTGGCAGTGTCTACTCTGGAAACAAGCTATTTGTTTGGCAGGAACTGAGCCATTGAAAAGCAGACTTCTCTCCCCTGAATAATACCAGAGAGGCCCTGCTGGGTTCCCAGTATAAGGCCCCAGAAGAGTTCATCTTCATTGGTGTTGAAATAGGTCAGGGTGTTTGCTTGGCCAACCCAGCTGCAAACTGAGAAGGCAGTGTAACTTGATCATTGGGAGAAATTGCAGTGGTGGTGTCTGTGTTATTCTCAGAGGCTGGCGGGAGTAACATAGCAGGCACAATGCAGAACACAAAGTTATTTGCAAGAATAAACCGACTCTGCAGTGATTGTTAATGGGATGCAGTGAGAAAAGTGCGATGGAGAGGCTCCTTGGGCGGAATCTGCATTTGTCTTTCCCACCAGTGTCCCAGCCTTTTGACTCCATTTTCAAAAAAGCTGTCTAAATTTGGTGTTGTTTTCACACCTCAAGAGTGCTAGTATACTTTTGCACGTCCACATATGTTTATCTTCCTTTGGGGCAGCTCCACTGTCATTGCACCTCTGCACTGCTTTTAAAGAATCTTCTCCAAACAACATTCAAACAAGCATAGATAAAGACGGTGTCACAGCAGCACGAAAATGATTAAAAAATGCAAATGCAAATTCAGTCCTGGTTGCATTTCTGGAAAACAAAAGCAATGGTGCAAATCGGAAGGTCTGTTTGATAAGCGGAGAGTTTTTAAGGGGAGTCTGGTATGGTTAGTGGTGATGTAAGAAAGGCACTGTGCTCATGCTTTTAACTTTTCATATTCCCGGACTGAGCTGTGAAAAGAGCTTTTAGAACTTGGGCTGATTCACATAAAACTGGTGGGGAGGAGGAAGAGAGTGGAGCTGGTAGTACAAAACTCTGCCCTCTCCTCCTGACTTGTCTTGCATGATGATCTGACTGATGGGGGGTGGGGTTTGAAGGTGAAGTGCCTGGCTGCAAGTGCAACTGGCACTATGGGTATCATCACACACACAACCATTATGTTCTTTCCTAAAAAAAATCAGGTGGAAATAATCCACCTGGGGAAAACACACAATTTAGTTTATTTCACTATTTGCATTTACACTGAAGTGGTTTAATGAGTAGCAGGGTAGAATGAAGAGTCTGCATCCAGCTCAAGAAGGGAGGGGGACCCAAAAGACAATAGGGGGATGACCAAGTAGGGGACGGATTCTGCATTCCTGTGGCAAGGACTTGCTTGGTTCCCTCCCTTTGACTGCAGAAGGTCTTGGGATCAGTCGAAGGGGTCTGACTCTGAGCACGGGGATAAAAGAGAGGAACCGGATGAGACAAACAGGGCTTAAGCTGCAGTACCGAGAGCGTCCCATTTGCATCAACAGATGAAGCTGGTGGGGCAGAAAGACCCAGCCCCACTCCGCGGGGTCAACAGCAAAAAAAAAAAAAAGGAGGGGGGGAGGAGAGAAGCAGCCAGCATCCGGGAAGCGCATGCGCTGCTGTTACCACTAGCGTCTGACCAGCAGTAATACCTGCGGCGATCAGGCCCCGCCCAGGTCTAGTGAAGTTCTTGTTTTTGTTATCGCCAGCCAATGCAGCGCAGAGGGAACAACGTCGGCGCGAACAGGCGAAAAAAAGCTGGGCGTTTGTGACTCTGCTGCTGGTTCCCCCTTCTCGTTTTCCCAGGAGCAATGTGGAACTTTGCCCTGCAGCCTGGAAAGCCGAGAGCTACGTTTCAGCACTGATGCATGGTGTCAGATGAGGGCGAAGGGGTGGGTAGGGAGAGGCCAAGCAGCAATCACCTGCCGCCGCTGCGACAACGCGATGGGGCTTGGGAAGGAACCGCCACCAGCAACAGCGGCCTGTATGGGCCAAGCAAAAACGAGCAGAGAGCGGGCGCGGGGATACTAAGCAAGGGGCTCCTCGTTAAAGTCCAAATATGAAATCTGGGCATCAAAACTACCTAAAGGGAGACTGGAGTTTTGCTCCTTGTAACGGGAGCATTTTGTAATCTCAGAGGCATAACTATGTTAGTCCCTTGCAGGACAAAAAAAAATAGATTTATCAGTTCAAAGACTCACAGTAGTGTTTATTCCCGCACAAAGCAGAGCTCACTGATTAACTGCATATACATAGGCCATTACACTTTTTACTAGACCTTTTAAAACCGCCTCTTGTGACATCTCCCCCCCCCCTTTATGTAGTGAGTATAAAAGGATCGGCGTAATGGATGCGCTACTTCAAATGCATCTGAGGAAGTGAGCTCTGACTCACGCTGGAATAAAATCTGGCTAGCTTCCACAAGGCCAGTGTTCCCTCTAAACTGAGTTAGTGTGAGCTAGCTCACGGTTTTTTAGCCTCCGGCTCACCTATATTTGTCTTCGCTCAGGCAGGATGGCTCCAGAGCAAACGAATTAATGCAGTAGCCAAATTGCTTGCTCACAACTTTAAAGCTCGTAGCTCACAAAGTAGAATTTTTGCTCACAAGACTCCAGTTTAGAGGGAGCATTGCACAAGACCTCCGTTTTGTTTCTGTAACGAGGGGTACCACTGTGATGGTTTTTGTGCTTGCAATTTGGGTGGGAGGGCGGCGGGGGGGGGGGAGAGCACTGGTAGATTTTGGTAGATAGGACTCACCGACACGGATGTAGTGCCAAGTGCTAGACCCCCGATGCAGGTTGACTAATCAGGACAACCCAGCAGTCCCTGCGCGGCTGCGAGCGGGGATGCTCAGGCGTCTGTGGCCAGAGGTCGCAGTGCTTTCTGGCGAGGCTCCCTCGGGCAAAAGCCTCAGGGTCGTAGCCTACAGGTTTAGGGAACGAAGCAAAAGGGCGTCCGGCTTTGCGCCACAACTTCAACGTAACGTCCTTTTCTTTTGACAACGTTCAAAGGACAGTTGCCGTCGCTGCCTCTGAAGGGAGAACAAAAACAAATGAACGCCAGAAGCGACTCCGCGACGGGAAAGGGAATTGGGGTGGCTGCCCCTGGGAGAGAAAGCGGGCAGGCAAGCAGGAGCCGCCGGAGGTCGCCTGCCTAGCAGGGGGCTGTGACGTCCCGGCGTCCCCGCTCGCTGCCATCTCGCTGCCGCTCTCTGGCAGCCGAGATTTGCTGCTCCTGACATCCGAGAAGGGGGCAGCCCTTTCCCATTGGCGGCACACACGCGCCTCCACGCCGCTCGAGGAGGGGGCATGGGCGGTTCCTCGGGCAGCTGGGGGGGCGGCGGCAGCAGCCCCCTCCCTCCCTCCCTCCCTCCCTCCTGCCTTTTTGTGCCGGCCCCCAAAGGCTGCTCGCCGCCCGGCGCCTGGGAGCGAACTGAGCAGTGTGGAACCATGGCCGGCTATCTCTCTCCCGGCGCTCACTTCAATTTGGAGGAACGGGAGTACCTGCAAGCTTATGAAGATGTGCTGGAGAGATACAAAGGTAGGGTGAAGCTCTAGCGATGCCCCGGGCCAACCCCAGCGAAGGATTTACTGGTGATCCGAAGCTTTGCCTTAAAATAGCTACTGGTGGTTGCAATGGAACAGGTGGCAGAATCAGGTCCTTGAGACATCGGCTATTCAAGCCCAGGGAAGGTCTAGAAGCACCCCGTGCCCCCTTGCTTTATGGTGTTCGTGTTGGGGATAATTTTCTGCCCTTTCTTTATTTTCTTTTTCCTGAAGTGCTGAAGTCACTGAGATGTATTCTTAGGCTGTGCTATATGGGGTTTGTCTAGATCAAGATCATTCTGTATTCCAGGGAGAGAAAGCCCTGTGAAATATGCTTTGAAATATATATTACAAAAATGGGTTTATTTTTAAACTGTTTCATTAGAAATATATATATCTGCTTAACACTCCATCCTGTTTTTCTTGGAACTACTGGTAGGAGGATGACTATGCATCTTTCAAACTAGCTAGGACCACACTGTAGAGCCTTTCTCCCCCACTGTTTCTTAATTTAGCCGAGACAGTTCTATCTTATGTAAAAATCTCAATGATTTATCATATTAGAAATGCCAGTTGTATTATTATCGTGGGTGGGATAAAGAGGTAGGAACAGATCACATCAGTTATATATCGGCAATATATCAGTTATATATCAGCAATAATGAGCAGTTTTTCTTCCTCATCTAAAATTATTCATAAAAATTAAAGAGTTAATCTATAATAAAAATGTGTTATTTGTATTGTAAAATTGAGAGTTTGAGCAGAATCTTCATGGCTGACTTTATGTTGTATGGTTCCACCTACTGTTTGAAGCTCCCATGGGGAAACAGGCTGGTACACAGGTTTCTGGCCTTAATTTCCTGATTATACTGTTTAAGGATTTATAGTAATAAATTTGCCTTAAATTGATCTACATCCACTGTTTTAATGGGAGTGGCATGGTTATGATATATGTATATGTAATCAAAAATTAATAACCTTGATTCATTTTATTTTTTTGTCTGCTTATCTGTGGAAAAACAACTTGAATAAATGTTGGATAAATGTCACAATATTAAGAGTCACTCTTAAAAGAATTAACCTGTTATGGCAAATTACTCTACTTAACTTACAAATGTGTCATTAAAGGGTGCCTAATGATTCCTTTTGTGTCTGTAGCCAATTCTGTCATTGCAGCTATGGAGCATGTGCAATAGTCCAAGAACTGAAATGCATTAAGTGGCTATTTGATGAAAACTGCTCAGCTGCTTTGAAGAGACTTGTAGAAAGAAGAACATCAGTTATATTATTGTGGGAATTTACCAGTACTTTTATGCAGACTAGGCTAGTTCCATGACAGCCATGTTCAAGTTACAAAATCAAAAGCACTGTACATTGTATTGTTCTATCACTGACCTCTGAGTAAATTTATACTATACTTGAATGTTATAAAAAGCTTTGCTTTCCAACTCGCCTGTCAATTTCAGTAATCTCTAAATTCATAATAGAAATAATGTAACCTGATCTGAAGAGTTTTCAGTGTCTCTTATTTTACCAGTTTCCTTTTTCAGGGCTTGTGATGATAGAATTGCAATACTGAGCTTCATTACATGGACATAGTCCTATTGAAATAATTGAGAATAAGCTTTTCTTGAAACAAGCAGACACTGAAGATAAGTATAATATCAAGATGTAAATCGTCAAGCATGCTGAGGTGCTGCAAATTGGCCATGACTCCCTGGTGCATGCCCATAGCATATTGGGACATGAGCATTTCTCCTTTGCACTTTGAATGTTTACTGCAACAAGAATTGGTGACACTGTTACTGGCCCCGGTTCACTTGTAGTGACAGGTAACTAGTTATACATAATGACTGGTGACTCTGAATGTGGATGCCCATTCCTGTCACAAGGCTCATTCAGTTTGTTTATTTGTCTCAATGATACATCATCACAGTAAAAGTCACATCCATCTAGTTTAAAAGAACTAGGATAAATGTCACAATGCAGGCCCATAGTGATGGTGGGGCATTTCGGGGGTTCTGCCCCCTCAAATGTGAGGCACACTCCACAACAGCTGCTGCCCCTCCCCCTCCCCTCCCGTGACATTAAAAGGGACTTCCAGCTGATTGGCGGAGCATGTGGCCTGCCAATCAGATAGAGGGTCCTTTAAATCTTTCAGCTGCCCCTCTCCCTCCCCTTCTCCAAGATTTAAAGGGCCCTCCAGCTGATCAGCGGGCCCTTTAAATCATGCAAGAGGTGAGAGAGAGGGGTGGCTGCCGGCTGCATACCTTCCTTGAACTCCAAGCAGTGAATTCGCCACTTGGAGTTCAGGCGTATGCAGCCCCCCAACCCCCCCCCCAGCATTTAAAGGGAACCCTTTAAATGCTTAGTTCAGCAGTTCGAGATCCGAGTTGCTGCATGACGGAGTGAGCTCCCGTCCCTGGTTCCAGCTCCTGCCAACCTAGCAGTTTGAAAGCAAGAAATTGCAAGTAGATAAATAGGTACCGCTTCGGTGGGAATGTAACAGCGTTCCGTGCGCCTCGGCATTTAGTTATGCTGGCCACATGACCATGGAAATGTCTTTGGACAGTGCTGGCTCTTCGGCTTGGAAGCAAGGGAAACCTTTACCAGCTGATCAGTGGGCCCTTTAAATCTTGCAGGAGGTGAGGGAGAGTGGTGGGTGCTGGCTGCACACTTTCCCTGAACTCCAAGCGGTGACTTTGCCACTTGCTGATCAGATCAGGTGCGGGCAGCCCCCGCTAGAAAAAAAGCATTTAGAGGATTCCCTTTAAATGCTGTTTTTCTCGTGGGGGCTGTCCACGTCTGATCTCCAAACGACAAAATCGCCACTTCTCCCTCTCCCCTGCTGATCCACAAAATTTCCCCATGCCCCACCAATCCAAAATTTTTGGCTGTGGGGTTGTCACAATGTGGGTGAGGATATGCATTCAGCTGGGCAACTGAGCACAAGCAAAAGACTGCTGATTTGTTGGCTCTCTCTCTCTCCAGGTGACAATCCACCCTGGAATCTGTCTGATGTATCTGGGCTGCCATGTAAAGTGTGAAGCTGCCCTGGGGCTTATAAGAGTAGTTTAATTTCTCTAGAAGTTCTTGGAAGGATGTTGCATTGTCTCAGGGAAGGTGTGGACCAGGCGCAGTGTTTGAAATATGAAACATAACAGAATTTTTACAGAACAAAGTTTGAGTCTGGTGGCACCTTTAAGACCATCCCATTTATATAGGTAGAGGGTGAATCTTTTCAGTTATGGTTTTGGAAAGGATAGGGATTATCTAGTCCAAACCTCTGCAATCCACATTCTTTTTTCCTTCTTTTTATGGTTGATCTACTCGGCCCATCAATTACTGCATTTAAAGGCTTGTGAAATATAATATCTGTATTCACTATGCGGGGAAAGAAAGCTTTTGTGTACATCATGAAGGTTGGAAGAACTGGCCAATTCATTGCAAAGTAATGTGTTCTCAAGCTGGTTGTGCTTTCCCATCAGTGGTATGACTTCACTACAATGATTGTTATCCTGATGACTAGCTGTGGGAGTTGATCTAATATGAAAAGAATGACAACAATACATGCTGTACATAGAAAGTTACATTTTACGTAATGTTGAGAGAAGCTAACTTTAATTATCAAACAAAAATGATAACACTTTTTTTGCTTATCAGTTACTGACATTCAAACATTTTTTTCTTAGCCACAGAACACTCCCAGCATTCATCTTGAATGTTATCAATGTGCCAAGATATCTATGGCCCAGCTGTTGGATACTGTAACTAGCAAAGTCAGCTGTAGAGAATTTGTTGCTGGTTTTGTGGGTGGGACTCACACAATGATGTATCTTTTGTAAATTACAAGTATTTGATTTCAAACATGACATTTAAAAAAGAGTTTCGATTAGATTAATGTTTTTTCTAGACAAGGAAGATTTTGTTTTGGCAACTTCATATCTCCCCAAATCATTATTTTGTTTGTTTTGAAAATGAAATCTAAGAGGTATAAATTACTGTATGTCTATAAACACTGTCTTTTGGGTATGTCTTTGGCAATAAATAAATTACTTTCGTTCAGTGAATATGAGCTACTATAGTTGAACTATGGTGTATTGCCAGAGGGAGAGGGAGAGAGAGAAAAGAGATATTTGGATTCATATTGGGTTGGTTCTGATGTATTCTGCTATGGTCAGGCCTCACCTGGATTACTGTGTCCAGTTTTGGGCACCACATTTTAGGAAGGATGTTGACAAGCTCGAGCGTGTCCAGAAGAGGGCAACCAAGATGGTGAGAGGGTTGGAATCCAAGTCTTATGAGGAAAGGCTGAAAGAGTTGGGTATTTTTAGCCTGGGAAAGAGAAGGCTTAGAGGAGACATGATTGCAGTCTTCAAGTATTTGAAGGGCTGTCATGTAGAAGATGGAGCAGATCTATTCTCTCTTGCTCCAGATTGCAAGACTAGATCTAATGGGTGGAAACTACAAGGGCGTCTTTACCGACTAAATATCAGGAGAAACTTCCTAACTGTAGGAGTGGTTGAGCAGTGGAACAGACTGCCTCGGGAGGTGGTGGATGCTCCTTCACTGGATGTTTTCGAGTGGAGGCTGGACCCTCTTTCTGATATGTTGTAGGGCTATCTTTCGGCTGTGCTCCTGCAGAGTGCAGGGGGTTGGACTAGATGACCTGTAAGTTCCCTTCAAACTCTAACATTCTATGATTCTATTATTCTATTTGAAAGTTCCCTTTGAAAGTCCTTCGGACAGAAACTTTCTAAAACTTTCTAATAGGAAAAATGTATTACCTCAGCTGATCTATAAATAAAGTTGGATGAAACTGCTTATTCCATGAGGAAAAATTGCTTCTTTGTTTGCTCATCCAAAAACCATCCAACATGGGTTATTTTTCTTTGCTGCTGTGAAATGTTACAGACTTTAACATGATTTTTTTAGCCTGTGCTTTACATGAGTTTTGTAGAATAGTACAACATATGTATAAGAGACTGTAACAAA